AGTGTAAACATATATTTTGCATCTGCAACTTTCAGTAACATTCCACAATTCTTCTCTTCCATCTTGTCCAAATGAGTTGTCTTGGCTTGAAGCCATTTCTCCGTGATAAGGTCAATGGCTTTAGCAATGCTAGACAGGCTGTGCCTGTTATCTTCACATCTTTTTTTTTTTTTTTGCATTTTTGCATTGTTACAGCTGCTCAGCCAAAGCATCAACAGTTTGTTTCCACAAACTTAATTGAGCCAATAACATTGTAATCCAGTATAAACAGAGAAGCAATTGATTGCAATTAGGCAAAAGTTTCAGTGTTTCCAGGCTTGCAGCCAGTTTGTGGTTTATGAAATTTAACTAAGTTACAGCCTAGTCAGTTTCTTATTAAAAAACCCCAACGTTCTAGCCAACAACACCCTGATGATAAAGGAAGAGCATGAGGAATGGATAAAAAGATCTTAGTGATGGTTTTTTACAACAGCCATACCCAGCCACTGACAGTGGGAATCACAAAAATAAGAACTTTACCATTCTCGAGGTGAACCAAGTTGCGTAACCAGCAGCACAAAGTCACAAAGAGATCTGTCTTGCTGTTGCTTCACAGTTAGTTCAATGTGGAAAAGAAAGCACAAAGGCAGACAATGCTCACACAAATATGCTCTAAGGCTTGTGCTATAGTTAAGGGAATTAATACATTTAGAAAGCTATGGCAAGTCATTCAAATCCTGAAAGACAAGAAGATACTACATTAGTGCTGGAAACCTGAGAAAAAGTGTAATAGTCTGTTTTAGAATCAAGATATAAATATGTAAATGAAGGTTTAATGTTAATGAAATTAGGAAAGACTGAATGACTCCCGATGATACTCTTGAAGAACCACACTGTATACTCTAATGTTTACACTATTATAGAATACCAACGATGCTTTTCATATTGTAATATGGGCAACAATTTGGTATAACAGCTGGATAACAATTAAAAAATGTGGGGTTTATACTCACATAATCATTATAACGTTGCTAATATAGTAAAATCCAAATGAAAGTACTCTTCCTTCATAGCTATTTTTTTGGCAACATTAGGCTGATAATTATAAAAAAGATGTACAGCATAGGCTGTGTAAAGTTTAAAAGAATTACTCCAATAACCAATACAATACGAAGAATTTGAGAGCAGTTTAGTCCAGTCAATCTATCTCATTTATTTATTTATTTATTTCGCTAGTTGTGCATTTGAAACAGGGGCCCAGAAAGGTTGTGGAATCTCCCCCACTGGAGATATTCAACAACCATCTGGATGCAATTCTGTGCAACGTGCTGTAGGATGACCCTGCTTGAGCAGGGAGAATGGACCAGAATTGAACCAATTCTGTGATTCTGTGGTTTGCTTAGTCTTATATCTGTCTTTCTGTTCCTGGATATCTCCAAAAGACACACAAATGTTGGCCCCAAAGTGGAACTTTACCCTTAAAGTGACATTTAAGGACATTTTTAAAACGCAGACAGAAAATGGGACCTTAAAGGCCAAAGACAAGATTTGTGAAGGTAATAAAGTTGTCCTGCTTTGTCCTCAGTGCTTAGGGCTTTCATTTTGCAGAATGAAGACCTGAGAGGTCAGCTTTGCATCTAAGCAGCTCTCTCTCATTTCTGTTATTCTGTGTGCATAGAGAACATGCACAGAGATTATAAGAGATTCTGGGTCAAACTTTCATTGTGGGTAAATAATTTTGAGATTGTTTGACCAAGAAGAGAAAATCAAAAGGGCTTCCTGATTCTTCCATAAGAGATGTTATGAAAGTAAAATGATACCAAAAGAAACCCTGTAGCCATACTTTAAAGTTTTTGTCTGTGTAATGGCTTCAACAGTGCATCAGCAAATCTGTAAATGCAGTTTGAGTAAATGTTATAAACCTAAAAAAGAGCAGTTGTTAAATCTTTTAACATCTGTAAAGCTTCTTTTAAACATTTGGAAACCTGCTCTCCCTCTCATTATTAACTCCTTGTTGGGTAATATTATACAGGATGGGTACACCAACTGTCAGGACTTTTTTGTTTTCAGGAGCTATTTCCTTTCCACTTTAGTTGAAAAGTTGCTTTTTCCTTTTGTGAGGCCATAACCTAGCAGGGGTAGAAATAGTATACACATAATGCTTTCCCAGAGAAGTTAAAACCATGCTTTAATATAGATGGTTGGCCTCATTTAACATTATATATAATCACAATTATTCTAAATATTAAAAAAGATCTGGAAAACCAGTGAATATACAGAAATAATAAACAGGATGATACCAGTGTATTAGTATTATTTTTACTAAGGCTTTAGATACAATTACTGTTTATTTCCAAACAAAAATCTGTGTATCTTGAGAAACAGAAAATCAGAATCCTTTTTGGCACAGTAAGTCAACACCAGAGTCAATAGCTTTGTTCTTCATTTATCAAGATCTACCTCTCAACAGTGAATTATGAGACAATATAATAACTCTACATCAAACTGTCTTTACTTTTATACAAACTGAGTTTTACTGTGTCAGTCTTGTCAACACTGCTGAATATTAATGTGAATAAAGTTAATTGCTGGGTGTATAAAGGTCTGATGCAGTCAAAGTGAAAGAAAGCACCTAACAGAAATCTGTCATTTTTGAAAAGCTGTAATTTATTTCTACTTCATGATATGTGCTGACAAGTTGCAAACCTTACTCTAGTCTTTACCATAAATTGCAATTATTATAATTCACAGCAACATTTGACCCAGAGGTTGGGACCTAGTTCACCATATATAAAAGACTTTACATCTCGGGGAATTCACTTGCAAACTCTAGCATGTATTTGTCATTGCAAATCCAATTATTTTCACTCTACACTGAACATGCACAGTAAATTTTGTGACTTGCACTGCTTAAGAAAAGAAATAGCACATTGCTTCAGCTGAAACATAAAGTGTTTATGACAAAATATTTACAGATATTTAAAGACTAAGATTGAATTTCAGTATGCCTGCACAATTATTACTAAGTTTTACAATATTAGGCACTGGTGACATACAAATCCTGATGATTTTTGTTGAGTATTTTTATAACCAATCAACATTGGTTATAATAAATGTTACTGGTACTATCAAAAACAAAGCTGAAGTTAACTCAGTTTAATCCCTGAACTTTTGCTCGTCTGTTACTCAGTACAGTTTATAAGATAAGTGTTGATGAGTATTCAGTTCATGGACCAAAGCAAAATTCCCAATATGACTGCGTTTATGGTGAATGTCTCTGGATTTATAAACCTAGTTTTGAAGTCTGGGTTTATTATGAGCCTTGTCATTTCTTAAGCTTAATAAAGGTAACCTGCAGATACAAAAATCTCTATTTAAAATTGAATCAATTTAGAAAAGATCACAAAGATCGTAAAGTTCATCAGATGATGTAGGAAATAAAAAGAAATGTGGTACCTCTAAAACATCAGACTTTTCAGAAGATTTAAGATTCTTCAGAAGATGCTGTAATTTTAGTAGTAGCACCTGTAATTTATGATTGCTGAGTACACTTATAATTAACTACACAGTTTTATTTATCTTGTCTGTACCTTTGCTTTCTCAGGCCCATAGCTTGTCAACTAAGCAACTAACAATGGTCTTTCCTCCATAAAAGTACCTTTTTAGCTAAACATGATAATCTGCACTTTTGTAAAACCTCCAAATTCCCATTTACTTCTCTGAGATCAGAATTAGTATTTTCTTCCTGCTTCTCTACACAATTGCATTAACAGTCTAGAGACAACATTTAGAGAACCATAAACAGGTAAAACAACAACAATAATAGTAATGCCCTGAGACCATCACTTGGAATAGCAGAAAGCTATCTGCACAGGATATCTACATATCTACTCCTCTTAACAGAGCACGTTGTCAATTGCTTCTAAACTAACTTCTCAGCTTTGCTGAGAAACTGGTAGAAGATATCTAAAGCATCACACCAGGGAAATAATACATAGAGCACTAGATGAAGCTGAGATACAGTACATGGTTTTTGATAGCAAGATTTTAGGCTTTCTGTGAATTCCTTTCATGGTGGCACATGGAATAGTAATCTGAAAACATTACTGACTTGAGTGCATAGATAAATTATAAATGTCAAGGAATGGTGTCAGAGGAGAGAGGAGTGTTGTTCTACCAACCACGTGGACTAAATCTTAGAGAAGAAGTTTAGGGTTGGCAGACAGAGGCAGAAATGCAGAATAGTTTATAGTATTTTATATACAACTTACTGATTTGATTTCTTCAGTAAAAACTGTAATGGAAAGGCTTATGAAGCTAGTGTTGTCCCAGTCTTAAAAATGATTGTTATCCAAAACCCTTTCTGTCTTCCAATCCTTATACAACCATTTGTTCTTCACTGATAAAACTGAAAAAATTAAATGTTTTAAATGTTGCAATTCTCTACAAACATTTGATTATATACAGGAAGAGGGTCTTGATTTGTTTTCTCTAGTTGCATGATAAAGAATGCTAGCTTTTGACAGAAATATAGTGGAATAACATTGTGATGAAATTATGTTGCTTTAGCGGCCATCTTTATTGTGCATTTCTCTGTGGATTTTATTTGAAATACTGAAACTGTCTTACAATGAATGTATCTGAATGCTTTTATCCCACATCATTTTTTCTAAGTGGTGTTAGAACTGTTAAGATAGAAAAATTGCATATTGAAGATGCTCAAGGTTTACACCATTATTTGTAGACATATAGAGAACAATAAGAGGAAAGAAATACTGTAACAAAGACAGCAGGAGAAAATCCATATCTGAACCTCAGATTCATACATGAGCTTCTAAAAATAATTAGGTATTCCGGGGAGGATTCTATATTTCATTATTTGCAGTACTACATTACAACTTCAATTTTACCAAATGAACAAAAAGCAGCGACTTGGGTCACTATGTGAGAACAGTAATATCTAAAAGCTTTTTTTTTTATCTTTACAGAAAAATAAGTATTAAGATATGGAACATATACCTGCAATTTAGAGGTGCACCAAATCTTCAGTGCAAGTCATGTACACACTTTTTATTATATCATTCTGAGTATCCTTTGCCACAAGCAAATATTTAACCATGTGATTAGACCAATGTTTCTGCAACCTTTACCAAAGATACTTAGGAAACCGTTCCCCTATGGCAAACAAATAAAAGCAGTAGATCGCAGGACTAATTCATTTCACAGGTCCTCCCTTTCTGAATTATTTCACTTCCACATGCATATACTTTTTGAAATCCAGATTATGTATACTTAGAATATAAGTCCCTGAAGTATTGTTCTTCTTAGCAAAAACTATCTGGAAGAAACATTTAGAGTTGATTCTGGGTTAATTACTATAGTCTAAAAACATTTCAGCAGACACCTGCAACAAATCTTTGTCTATAACAAAGCTAGTTGTAACAGCTACTTGTCTGGAATTCATGATCTTATCCCACTGCCTACTGAGTATATGTCTGAATAAAAAATAACGATAAATTATATGTTCGCTAGAGCAATAGCATGTCCAAGTTTGGACAGATGTAGCATGTAACCCATCCTTTCCTCACTGGTTGACCCTTTCAGCTGTGGTTGTGAAACATGCTTATTTTAATAAGGTAAAAGCATGACCTTTTTTGATCCTGAAAAGTGTTATTACAGAGAATTCAGTCTTATTGTTACCAAGAACTTCTTTTAATCAGAATTTCTAAACACTTAGGGAATTAAGCAAAGCCTTCAGCACTCGTCCATGGGATTAAATCTATTACATATAAACACCTTATAAATCTGCCAAAAGACATAAATCTGAACAGCAAGACCCTTTTTCCCTAGACATATGCTACGCTTTTAATAAGGACCTGGCTCATTTTCAGACTTATCTTTTGTTAAGGCAGAAGTGAAAGGAAAAGCCTTTGAAGTAGTTAGAAAAACAGTGTAATCACTAAGATACCATTATCCTGTCTCTTGTAGATTTTATATTTGAGCTTCTCAAAGCTATGGACAGCAAATTACTCATTTGATACCTGAGCTGCATAAAGAAGATTGAAATTTGGGCTGTTAATCATCTCTTCACTCTGTTTGGGAGCTTCTCTGTAAAAGCTCATGCATAGTACAGATGCTCGTTGTCTACATTATTCCTAGGCACCCAACAAAATACAGAGTGGAAAGTGTCATTTATCGTAGATACACTACTGCTGAAAGAAATCTTATTTCTATATGAAATGTGTTCTGAAAAGGGAAATGGTTTTCTAGGAGGTTAGATATAACTTGCAGAAAAACATTAGGTTCTTTTTTATATTTTTTTTGGTAGTTAGTGACCCACATTACCAGATATGTTAAATGAATAATCAACTTAAATGAAACAAGTTTTGACTATCAATTAACATGATGATTAATAGGAGTACAGACAAATAAATATAATAATAAATGATTTACTCAAAAAATGATTATCCAGGTAGTATTTTTATGCCTAATTTTTTAAAAGTACTGAAATGATAAAAGAGCACTACTTATTTGTTTAAAGTACAAAGAAATTTTTTAGTTTTGGTTTGCCACTTCTAGATAGAACTTTTTACTGCAAAGTTCCCCCAGAAACTCCAGGGAGATAGGAGAAATACCATCATCGCTGATGGTACAAAGCTGGAGTATACAAAAGATTAACTGGCATGCTCAAAGTCACACATGTATATGAGACCTCGAAATTCAGTTTGGGCATATAGGCTTCATGTTGTGATCAAGCCATAGACATCTGACTTCTTCCCAGTTCTCTTCTTTACCCTTTTATTACCCAGGTAAATGCAGCTGTCCCGGGATGCCGTTGCTAGTTCCTAAAATCATTTCGCAGTCATTAATTTTCTTCGAACCTTTATCACCCACTCAAGTTGGTGAAATATGTGCATGGAATTAGTATGATTTTCACCCTTTTATCATCTTATAGATGGCATATATCAGATAGAAGTGCATCTGGTTCTGAATGGCCTCAACAGGGGAAATAATACTATCTTTATCCAAGAAAAGGTTGATCATGTTCTACTGGGTACCTCAGGAAAAAATCTTTTCTGTAGAGCCAGTCTATAATGCTTATTCTACAGGCATAACTACGAAGCCAAAAATCTGATTTAATGTATTATAGTTTCTTTTAGTCTGTTTCTCACTTCTGTTACATAGAAGTTTGTCACCAACATATGACTTTTGAATGCTTAACAAACTCTTTAGGGAATGCTTTAAAAATTGCATTTCCATTTTGTTTAATTTTTTTCTTCTTTTTCTTTTTTATTGTTTTTCATTTTAATTTGATTAATCTTATTTAAGTATCTTTTTGTATTTTCCTAATTTTTAGAGAAGTTTTCAGACCTTCAGTCAAGGATGAGAAAAGGAGCCCTGGAGTGCAGGTAGCAGAGTTCTCAGCAGTATGCTCTTAAGGGTCCTCCAGGTGTTTCAATTTATTAAATAATGTGATCATACATTCCAGCAGATACATAGTCCATTATAGGGGAAAGCCTTAATGAATAAATCAATTTTCAATTTTTAACTTGCTCTATTAAAAAAGATACTTATAATCTCTTCTTTCTATCCTGCAAAGATTTAATGCAGAAAATGGGAAAAAAAAAAAAGAGTGGATTATCACTAACTAAATGCTTAAGAGAAAGTCCTGTTACATTGCTCCAAAATTCTTTCTCCAAGAAAACAAGATTAGCATTGAAATCCTCTGTGCTATGTTGTTAATTCCATTAAGTAATAACAACATTAATGTAGGAAATGCTGTTAGACAAAGATCCAAAATAAAAAGAAATTTAAAAAAATGTACATCCATGACAAAAGCAACCTCAAGAAATCACCTTTTTTTTAAAGACAGAGGTGAAGTAACTTAGCAAACCCCAATGACAGAATTACAGTGTTAAAGATAGGCAGCATAAAACCAAAACTGTGCATTTTTTTACTGATGTTTTTCTTAGAGTCCAACCCCAAAGTTACTGAAGAGGAGAACCTAGACTACTGAAAGGAAAAGAAAGAAACTATTCATTCCATGAAAAGACATTTATACAGTTTAACTTTAGTTTAGTTTAGTTAGAAATAAAAATTTGCATGCATGAAGTTAATGGAAACATTTTATTTTGCTTCTCCTCTGATTTTAATGAATCTAACTGGTAAGATTCTTGCATGCTTGGGGACATCTCACACAGTAGGTTGCTATGATGAAAAAGTAACTTCAGAGATTTATAGAACAAAAAGATTGCAGAACCCCAAAGTAACATTTGTAAGGAATCAATTGAGTAGATAGTGGTGAGACTTTTTTCTAGGAGGTGGCAGTAGATGAACATCTGTGGAGAAGCCAATAGCAACAAATCTGCCTGACATAAAATAAAAGAGCAGTTCTGATGGGGAAATGTAGAATGAGCATATGTCGGCTTCACATGGATATTAAACTTGGGATGACATTTTCCTTAAAAAAGAAAACCAGATTTTAATATTTCCTCTTTTGCTGTGGACTGTTTGGAATAATGTGCAAATCATCCGTCAGGCACCATTTAACCTATCTAAATGCAAAAAGATGAATTTGGAATACTATCAAAGCCCATATTGAATAAAGAGAACCATTCTGTTTCAGCAGCAACACAAGAGACCTGTTTTTCATTATGCATGTGAAGTGTTTAATTTAAACTGGTAATGGTTAACTACGTCTGGCCTAGAGCTGTGCAGATCTGGGGAAAACACCCATAAACAAAACCCCCTCTATTGCCCTTCAATTTCTTCTTTTCTAAGCCAAAGAGAGAGAGAAAAAATATTTCTGGAACATATGGAGATTGTTTGTGTGAAATACCTTTTTCCCAGAATCTGCAGAGAAAGAAAGTAAGAAGTTTATAGATCATAGTGAGAAGCCTATGAGCCTTAGAGTTACCTGTATTAAAATGTCTGTAAACCACGAATACTTTACAACGGAGTCTGAAATTAGAGATTGTCAGGGAAGTATACACAAAGCATTTATGAAAAAGGTATCTTAGATGTCTATGGTTTTCAGAGGTTTAGGTGCATGTGGTTAGCTTTGCACAGAGGAATCCTAGCCTCAGCATGGAGCCTAATGATGCCTCCCAGATTAAGTGAATTTGCCATTATTCAAAAAGGGTTTACATATTTTATTAATAAATTACACTAATAAAATATGTTCATCATTCACAAGTAATAAGTTTAGTTTAATAAGCAAATGGATGTTATTTTAATAAGAGAATAACTATTATAGAACCCAGACACTGTGTACTCTTGCAAAATTAAACTAGCATATATACAGTTCAAACTGAAGGCAAAAGTTCAACATCTTCTTTGGCTAAAGCATTTATATTTTCCAATGAAAGTAACTATTGTCCAAGTCTGTCTGTTTTTGACACACAGATTTCAAATGTTTCCTAGTCCAATGAGAGAAAGAAGAAATTCAATTTTAAAGAGAGTGAAAATTAATTTTACTGCCTAATCATTCCTTCTTCAGTAAAGTGATAAAATACATACTGATATAGGTTAATAAACTAGAAGAAAGCAAATGGAGAAGAATAAACATATAATTTCCAGCAACATTTCTAGAAAAGTATAACAATTTCAGCCATAAATTATTCAGAATGTAATACTCTGAGAGTGTCTTAATAATGGACAATAAAAGTAAGTAGTACCCAAAATTAAATGGTATTCAGTATTATAGTCTTTTAAAAGAACCTTCTGAAAAGGTTTATTTCCACAATAATCTCTTAGGAATTCAGTAATACTTCCTTGAAGACAACTGGTGACTTTCTTTGTTTTCCTTTCAGGCCTGTCATGCTTTGGTTAACAATAGATTTTAAAAAGATAAATATACACTTAATTATTTCTCTTCCTTTTCAAAGTTTGATCTGATGGAAACCAAGCTTACCAAACAATTTATATTAGCCTTTGCTGTTAATATGCAGACAAAATACTGTTTCTCATATCCAAATGGACTCAGCTGGTTTGTATGGAACCTTGGGAACCTTGTGGCAGCCATAACTAATCTTTTTCTTTCTGTTCCAAGTACTTTTGGATTACTAAATCAAATGATATTTAAGTCAGACTGTCCCAAATCCAATGTCAACAAAAGACTATTTAATATCTTCATGTTTATATGACTTTTTCAAATTTTTAATCAGTCCAAGTGACCATGCTGGAAAGAAATTACTGTGATTTATGGGACCAGAATGAAGAGTCAAGAAGAGATAAAAATGGACCTAATGTAATTTAACAGTCTCTTAAAAATGTGCCCCACATTAAAACACTTTAACAACAACAAGATCACTTGCTTATGTAAGGCGTAATTTTAAAATACTAAAACAATTCTTTTCTAAAAAATATAAAAATAAGTATCTGAAAACTTTTTTATCTGTATTCAGTTGTAGAAATTTTACAGATCCATAAACCTGAACGGTGATGTAGAATGGGGCAGGAAAAAAGGCAAAGGTTTTTCTTACACTTGATTCTTAATACTTGTTTAGATTTTATTCTGGGTTAATTGAAAATCTGTGAAAGTTGAGGAGCTGAAAAACTGAGTCAAATTTTAAGACTTCAATTTTTAAATAAATTAATAAATGAAATAATGCATGTTTAAATTCATTGGATATTTTTTTACTTGAAAAAGTCAAATAATAGAGCAGTAGCCAATACATATATTTGTCGAACAGTCAACATGATACAACTTAAATGCATTGTCCTTGTACTTCCAGTAGATGGCAGGTATAGTACTTCGAACTTTTAAAAAGTCATAAAACTCTTAACTGTTTTAAACAATAAGATGCTAATATCAGGGAAATTTTGCTTATAATGCAAACCTTTCCATATACGTGTATTTTTATATTTTACATCATTATGGAAGATATACCAAGATGAAGAGAATGTTTGATACAAATATATTAAGCACTGAAAACAAAGTAAAAATTAATAAAAATAAAAAGAACCTACTGAATAACATGCACAGAGAACTGGAATGCTCAGAATAATATTCAAAATAAAATAAAAGGCACAATCGGAAATCTTAAAATAGGAACTTGAAATAATAAACTTTGTATTTACTTCTCTTTTTCATAAATCTGCCGTTTTTTAAAGCAGTGGTTGTATCTTTTGCATAAAGGAACTTTCAATTTTCTGTTATGTGTCACTGAAAAATTAAGAACCATGATATAACTGTCAAGCATTTATGAATTCAAAGATTTGAGCTGTAAGGTTGTTAGTTAAACCAAGATCAACATACACAAGAAATTATGGTGTTTTTTTTTTACTGCAAGATTGAGTAATAAAATTCTACTTGCAGCAGAGGAGTAACCCCCCCTCAGAGCACAGGATAGCTAATATTCAGTTACAGATTAGGGACAAAACCTTTAATTCTCTTTCCATTGTTCAGTATGTGACTCCATGCCTTGTTCACTGCACACTGGTACAACTTCAAACCACTCTGAAGCCTGCCTTACTAATTCCTGTAGAGTGCATTTTTCTGTGCTATTCTGTTTAATAGCACCATGAATGCCACTTTATCTTAACCAAGTTTTGGTTAGTTGACTTTCTGCTATCTTCTCTGTTTTAGAAAGGGGAAAACAGAGATGCTTTGAAATTAAGGTCAAAAATATTTGCAAATGTTCATTGGATTGTCTGACTTTTTGGTGGTGGTGGTACATGTTAAGCATTATAGTAGTACAAATATGTTAAAAAGATTTTTTACTAATTTTCATTTCAATTGTGAGTGCAAGTTGAATGCAAAATAAGATAATTGCACACCTAGTGAGAATTAGATTAATAGTTTAAAGGAAAAGACTAATATCACACACAAACTGCCATTAAAATCACCATCCAAATACAATTTTTCAAACAGGTTCCCCATCATCCTAATGAAACCATACCTTGTGTTCTCTCTATTCTGTGTCTTATTGCCTCTTCTGTATGAAACAGAATAGCACCTACTTTCTAGGTGTTTTCCCTAGTTGTCCACTGTTGGTCACATAGCACCAAAAGAAGGGGTGGAGTAATCCCACCAGGACATTTACTGTTCTTGGTTTCTCAGCTCAAACTCACCATATGAATATTAATTATTCTGCCTATTTCCGGTCTTGGAGCTCGTGTCCCCCAACCACTTCTCATTAAATTCCAGATAGTTTATCTTTGTACTTAGTTAACTCTACTGTTCTCTAACCAATATTGACATTCATCACTTTTCCTTTTTGTTTTCTTTCCATCCAGCCTTCTCCCTGGCTTCTCACAGACAGCTATCTGCCACACTACTTCTCTTCTTCCTCCACATTCCAAGTCAGTAGTTCTTATCTTTCCTCCAACATTCCCTGAAAACAATATACTGGTATCTTGTTTCAATCTTCCTCTGTAATCAATTTTGATTTTGTTTTTGTTTTAATGGCAATTTATCATCCATCTTCAATGTTTCACCGTTTAGACACCTGGGTCCCTTCTCCTGCCTTCCCTATTTCTCCTAGACTCAGGAGCTATGAGTCCTTTCACTCCAGTTCTAAGATGCCAGACTTCAATGAGATGCTTTCCTTCTTTCTACTGTCTGGAAATCGCAAAACAAGGTATTACGCCGTGTATCTTCATGAAAGAAACCAGTAACAGATGATCCTGAACATATCAGTATTAGTCCAGAGCCTAATATTGACTCTCTCCCTAATGGAAAAGCTCATGAAGGAAACCTGACTTTTGTGAGGAACTCTAAACTTTGCCTGCTCAGTCCCATCGTGAAGGTGGTAAAATTCCCATTTTGTCAGTAATAAGAGGTGTGAAAGACGCAAGCGATAATGGAATCAACACTGAACTTTCTGGAACATAAACTGAGTATATACAAAGTGAAGTTCCCTAAAATCCTGTCACTTGAACAATTTTCCTGTTTAAAGGAAATCAGAAGGTTTCCACATGAATAAAATGCTGCTGAATCACCTTTTCTGATTATAAATACGTGAGTTGCAAAGTTTTTTGAGGAAAAGAGCAGGAACCTTTTTTACATGCTAAGTATTTTTCCTCAGTTTCATAACCATGCATTTAGTCT